CATGCCCTTGGCCTCGCAAACGCTGATCATACCACTCTTCTTCTTAATACCTACACCAAACTCAAAGACGTTGCACGCTTGGACAGCTTCATCAAAACAGAGTCTCGACGTTCTGGTGCGGCAGAGTCAAATGGCGACCTTCCATTTGACCTGGATACTGCTATTCGGGTGTGCAGGCAGGCAGGATACTTTGATCATGCCAGCTACCTTGCGAAGCGCTATAAGCGACACGAAGAATATTTGAGGGTTATGATTGAGGACGCTGGGAAGTATGGGGAAGCATTGACGTATTTAAGACACTTAGGAGCAGCCGCAGTAAGTCTAATCTTCGTTATTGTTGTTTAGATTCTTTCCTGCACGAGGCCAATACATTTATACAGGCGGAAAGCAACCTCGCAAGGTACGGACGCGCTATGCTAGACAATCTTCCAGAGGAGACGACGCAGCTTCTTATCGATCTTTGCACCGTTTCTGGGCCCCTCGTCATTCCCGAAGCAGAGGACACCACTCCACAACAGCCGAATACGCCAGCAAACACCCCGTCGTACCTCTCGTACCTTGCCCTCTCTCGTACACCCGCGCCAGAAGACAAAGTTGAGGATTCCAAAGCGGATGAAGAGGAGGACCTTACACAGCCTCAAACAACGCAGCCCGGGGTACCAACGCCATCCAAAGATAAACGGCCATCGCCTACACTCTATTTTGCGCATTTTGTCGATCACCCGTCATACTTTGTCCGTTTCCTAGAAAGCGTAGCCGCACGTCGGTCGGGACAGTCGATCTCTTCTCTCCCATCCTCTCTTCTAAATACCAGTTCGGACAAAGATGAAGACTCCGAGAAGCGCAATCAGGAAGCAGTTTGGAACACGTTACTTGAGCTCTATCTTGACGGGGGCTCTCCAGAACAACAGGACAAGGCACTCAAAGTTCTGACGACCGACTCCTTACCGTGCGATAAGACACATGCACTGATTCTTTGCAGCAGCTACAGCTATACCCCAGGTCTGATAATACTTTGGGAGAAGCTGGGTATGTATGAGGACATTTTACGGTTTTGGATGGACAAGCACAGTGCATCGCCATCCGAGTCTTCCGCATCAACGGAAGTCGTACAGGCTCTTGAACGATATGGCCCAACGCACTCGCACCTCTATGAGCTGGTGCTGCGCTTCTTGACCAGCACGCCGGAGCTGCTCACGCGGCACCAGGTGGACGTGGAGAAGATTCTAGAACATATTGAGAAGGAGCGGATAATACCTCCGCTTGGTGTGATCCAGATACTGAGTAGAAATGGAGTAGCGAGCGTAGGCCTTGTTAAGAACTGGCTGATGGGACGCATCAAGGAGGCAAGGGAAGAAGTGCAGACTGTGATTTCTTTACATTTATTTCTCATCTACGCGCTGCTGATTTTTCGCGTGATAGGACCAACAGCTGATAAACTCCTACCGGTTGGAGACGGATGCGAAGTTGAAGCAAGTGGCTGAACTAGAAGACCCGATGCACGCAAAGGTGTTCAGTGTGACGCGTTGTTCTCAGTGCAGCGGTCAGCTCGACCTGCCCAGTGTCCATTTCATGTGCAACCACTCATACCACCAGCGGTACGTACTTCGCTTACTCATTATTTGACCAAACTATTCCTTTCCTCAAAAAGCACACTTCTTCTGGCTATTTGTGATATCAGCGCTAACGGACATTTATTATAGATGTCTACTGGACCACGAGACCGAATGCCCGCTTTGCGTACGCCAACACGGGATTATCCAGGAGATTCGGAGGAACAATGAGAGGATGGCAGATCAACACGAGCTATTCCTCGCGGATGTGCAAGATAACGGGTTTAAAGTGGTTGCGAGTGGATTCGGTAAGGGGGTGCTGAATATGACTCGATTGGACGATGTTGCTGTATAACGTGTGGCACCATACCACATGACCTGCATCTGTTACGGTATCCAGTAGTAAGTTATCAAATTAATGACTTTGGTAATCTCGGGTTGATCCATACAAGATGGTCACTTTGTAGATTGATTCAGTCCAACACTAACATTGATTGCTCGTCCTTTCATAAATGCAATGATTTCTGAAACCCCAGTTGCCATCAGTTATGTAGGTATATTTTGGCCTTGCTCCATGTCCACTAAACTGTAGGACTTCGTCCTTGAGACCTGCATGGAGATCAGTGAATCGGTATCAATGATCACATGCACACGCACTTGAAGCATGGTCCATCCAAGATTAAACTTCTGGCGGAGAATAACGCCGACACAGGTAATAGTATCTATACTTCACATCCAGGGTGCCGTAACTCTCGGCTTGATCTATTGGCAGAAAATCTAGAATCGGCGAGGTCAAGATCTTTTCACCTTCGTCAACAGAACAGCTTCTAATTGGGAGCTCATTTAGATGTGCAACGCACATCACTCAAGTTTCCGGGGATAATGGACCTTGAAGCTCGATATGATGGATACATGATCAAGGCCCTTATTGGATGGGTGGTCTAAACAGTGGACTTACGTGGGCAGAACAACACGAGTCGTATAGGCGCCGCCTCGAGTTATCATCCTAGAGATAGAACCATTTATTTTTAGGGTAAGCGCATACTTCTCGGCGCGCGAAGTCAGACGACAGGCAGTATTTGCTGACGTAGAATTGTTTATCAAGATTCACAGCCTGGGTTGTTGCCGAAACCAATGACTTGCGCATAGTTTAGGCCAAAGTTCCAATTGGCAGTTCCACATCCCTGACCACGCCTCAAGAATCTGATATCTCACCTGCCTTTCTCCACTTGATGTGTTTAGAGATGGGCGATTATGTGGTGGAATGTCAGCATCCAGCGTGGATTTCATTCGATCCATACCAGTTACGGCTGCTCTGGTGCGCCCTCTGCAATTTCTATTCCCCGGAGGTGTTGGTGGATCTACTCCGCGATGTGAGCGGGAATCGTCGTAATTCTTGTGTATAAGATGGTAAACCACTGATGCTAGGAAAGTAAATTCAGATCCTTTTGTGCCCGTGCTTCTCCTATCAATATGCTGACTCCTGTGAAGACTCTTGCACGTCAAGTCTCTCGTTACATTATTCGACCCAGCTCACCCTCTTCATCTGATGGTACTCGGTCTTCTTCTGATAGGCAATCTTGTTTAAGCCAGACCTCCCTTGTCAATACCTCCGAAGACGGGGACAGCGGGCGCGGTTCTATCTCTAAAGGGGACTCGCAACTTATTAATCTGATTCCGACCGCAACTACTCAGGCATCAACGTATGGCTCGTTCATTGTGGACACAAGCACCACTGCCAGGACACCCTATTTTCCGACTGCTTCAGGTGGACTTGGAGATGTCTACGCATGCATATTGAACAGGGGCACGGGGCTGGAAGAAGTATGCTACACATTGATCTTCTCCATGCTTATGCTCACTTGTGCTCAGGTTGCGGTCAAGTCTCCACGGTTCCCAAGTCTCGCAGACGCCGACGTTGCCAGAATAAATCATGTATGTTTGATTAGCCTCTGAAATTGCCGCGTGTCTAGAGTTCATTTCTTTGGAACACAGAATCTTGACCGCGAAATCAAGGTCTGGACCAGATTAAACCATCGGTATGTATTGCGCCTGTATGGCACCGTAACAGGTTTTGGTCCATTTCGAGCATTGGTATCCCCCTGGATGGAGAATGGGACATTGAGCTCCTATCTTACTGGTGAAGGTAGAACTCTGACCACAATGGCTAGGCTTCGCATTGTAAGTTTCTCTTTTGACTCCAATTACTGAAGCTTACTGTTCGTCAAAGCTCAAACAGATCACCGAAGGGCTCAAATATCGTAAGTAACAGGTTGGCTTGGAAGCAACTGGCTTAACAGTACACTGTGGACAGTCCACGACAAAAACGTCATTCATGGCGATCTGACTAGTGTAGGTTTACCTCCACTATACATTTCGTGACCCACTAATTATTATTATTGTAGAACAATGTCCTAATTGCTGCCGATGGATCCCCACGCCTTGCAGACTTCGGTGTTTCGAATATCATGGTGAAATCTAACCCGGCATTCTCCTACCAAACTGGTGCGGTTCGTTGGGCAGCTCCAGAGCTCATCGTCCTCCCGGAAGGTCAAACCGTGCAATTTGCCACCCAATCTAGTGATATATATGCTCTTGGGTGTATCATACTTCAGGTCAACGTCACATTTACGTTTATTTATGACGCTGACATGGTACCCACAGGTGTTGTACGACAAACTACCCTACTGGTGGATCAAGACTGCTCCACAAGTCATGTCATCAAAGTTCAAAAACCAAGAGCCCATTAATAACACCATACAAATCCATGCACATCATCTGAATTTCATGCGGCGGTGCTGGTCAATCAAGAGCGAGAATCGTCCATCAGTGAAGGAGGTACTGGACTTTCTCGAGAGAGGTATCTCTACCGAAGCATCTACATAATGTTGCCGTTCGGAATTGGTTCATTCTTGTCTTTTTCATTCTAGCTGCCTCGCTGGCATAGCATAGTGTCGAAGTATAATATAGGATCACATATCCGCTGGCTCGGTACCTCATAGCAATGCTATTGTCCGTAGAATCATACATACTAGTCTATCATAGAATCGAAATCCATTACTTTGGCCATAGCACAACTGATGAGATGAAGAACCTCCGAGTCCGCCCGCGCCAGCAAGTTATACATTAGCTGTCGCCGGACATACAAATCGTGCGGACTGCGGAGTCCAACAACTCTCGCTCTAAACATGGTCAAACTCTACAGTCGCCACCTCGCCTATACTCCTATACTTATGTTGCCACTAATAGGTTCGACGGAGATATATGGATCATGAGAGAAGAGAGGGAGTTGATTCACTGAAGATACTGATCAGGAGATCCGAGAAAGTAAGGACAGGCATTGATATCTAAGCGAGTACAAAAGGAATTCTGTAGCCAGCGGAGTGGATTGTGCTACAGAGCACTGTAGCAAATTACGTTTCCCCGGCGGCTCCTTACACCTAAGGCCTGACATTATGTTCACTGTGCAGCATCTTACAGAATTGCAGAACCCTCTTCCACCAAAGTGAGTAGTATAATAAGCTCTAACTCGTGTAACAATATTCTCCAAATTCATTACTGCAATATGTATACACTATCATTACATCTCACTACATGACGACGTTTACAGTGACCCAAGAAGTCTTATGATATCGTCCATGGTCGGGCGTTCGGGTGATATCGTATTCAAGCACGGTGAGAATTGTTGATATACCTCATGATTTTGTATATCCTTAAAAGGTGCGCGTCCCTTCTTCAGCGCGCCCGTAACCTGGAAAACATTTTTTATCCATACGTAGGGCTCTTTTCCCGAAAAGATCTTGGATTATTGTAAGCAGGCTATTTTCGTGTATTAACAACCCGACAGACCTGGAACACTACACAGCCATACGAATAGACATCCCAAGCTTTGACTGGCTTCTCGTATTTAACTTCGTCCTCGTCTTCATCTCCGGCTGGGAAAGCCTCCGGGGGCATCCAACGCACGTTTCCTGGATGACAGGAGGTGAATGTGGCGTTGCCTTCCTCAGCAATGATCATCGATAGACCAAAGTCTGCAAGACGGACGTGATCGCCAAGGCCGTCAACCAAAACGTTGGTCTGTCATTGAATTCAGTTACATACCACATATAGATCTGGATAAGACTTACCGCTGTCAAGTCACCATGCACGATACCCTTGTTGTGCACTAAAGGATAATCTTTAGTAAATAGTTCGATCGCTACATTTGTTGACAACGGAACGCACGGTAACTAATACCAGCAGCTACCTGTCGTACCTGAAATCATGGCTAAGTATAAGCTAGTAGTGTAGTAGCCATTTGGCACTTACAAGCTTCCATTTTCGAGAGTCAGTCAGTCCGGAAAACTCGCGCTTCAAGTAATTGTCCAGCGACCCTCCTTCCATCCATGGAGACACTAGTGCTGGAAGTAGCCCAAATTCTTCAGTCACGCCGTCGAGAGGGAGAATATTGTCGTGTTCCAACTGTATCCAAACATAGGCCTCGCGACGAACTCTCTGGGGAGCAGATTGATCAGCGAGTGGAACTGCATGTCAATCCCCACCCTAACCTTGCCTATCTTGTTTAATGATTCCACATCTGTTGTTAAAGGGACCCTGAGAGATTTGACAGCGACCTTGATTATGATAAATAATGAGTCTTCTACCCATAACTTAACTCACCAGGCGTTGGGTTCCAGGTTGTATAATCATCGAACATTTCCAGACGTCACCGAGCCCTCCTGTATAGATAGGATAGGTGCCATGCCTTACGATGTTTATCGTAGGAATAGGTGTTGGTTCAATTTTGAATTGAACTGGGTCCTGCCAGTGATTTTAGAATATCTGAGTCATCAACGTGGAAGCAATATCGACTTACGGGGGAGATATCACCCATTGCGAAGTAAAGTTAGATCTCAGAGTTCGAAATGACAGGTGCTAGACCGCTGAAATGTAGGAGATGAAGCGGGCATCCTTATATACTGCTGAAGAACAAATTACCAATGCTGTCAACCCAAAAATACTGTGACCATGAGGCCATCCTACATATGACCTGTTTGAACCTGAAACCTGGCGTCTTGATAACAAGTGTGATGGAATACTCTGATGGACTGTGTTATTTAATGGGCTTATCCATCGGTGATTGGTACACTCCACGTCTTCCATCAGACTCGGGGAAAGATATCTTGCGATGTGCATGTTGGATTACATGCATCCTTACTATGCGTTTTACAACGATACAAGATTAACACTCAACTATTCCATCCTCAGTTGCGTATCTTTCTCGTAACTCCCCTAATCAAAGCTGATCAAAGTATTATATTTCCCAATTCGTTATGCAATACACGTGTGGCGCTTGTTCGTTTTTTGTTCCAGTTATCTATCGGAAGCAGACTCGAACCGAATGCCGAAGAAAACTTTGTGTAGTCCTGCACGGGATCAAGCTTCTTGGATGCAACAAGCTATATGGCCTTGATGTGGCTTAGATCATGGCGCCTGTCTTGTGGTTAAGGGGTTGCGCCAGTGGTTGCGTAGCGCCAGATCGTAAAGCTCTCACCTGTCATTTCCGGATACGATCAATGCTAGAACACTAGTAGTGACAACGTGATGAGTGGTTATTTGAGTCCTGCGCGGCCTGGAGAGAAATTAGCTAAGGGGGGTGAGAATTATTTCATGGGCGGCCTCGACCACTGGTCGACTATCAACCCAGAGTATCAGAACCGGGGCGTCAAGCATCACTTTTCAGACACTGAACACGTACCTTGGATGATAGAAAACATAGTCTAATCCTGATAAGCGTGCGCTTAACTCGGGAAACCATGCAGTCCCGACATCAGACGTTCTATGTAGGAATCCCGGATAATGAAGCTGGACGAGTGCAATTCTTGAAACGAGAACTTACGCTGGATTTTCCTGGATATATGTCACATCTGAGGCTAAAGAAGTCTATAGTGTGACAAAGAGGTGCGACTGAGGAGGCCCCTTCGACTGCGTTCACGCGTAAGCCTTTCTTGAACCTCTCAGATCTGGTGGAAAGTAATAAGAGAAATGGCATATTCCTGCAAGTTATCCCGCAGCAAGTCTCGGCGCTCAAAAATCTGGTGAGAGAGCGGCCAACTGTGTATATTAGTGAACAGGATCTTTCTTAGGTTATTGACATGCCTTACTAGCACATACCTTTGAGAATTTAGAGCGCTGAAGAATTCGGTTTTATGATAGACGCTACCAACCAGTGCAGCGCTAGTGGAGTCCTTCGGATTCTGATAGAAGACTAGCGTTTTTCCACGAAGATTATATCCATCGTGACAGAATATTTAGACTGCTGCGTGTATCTGCGCGCAGATCTGGGGTTTTCCGTTGTCGACGCAATAACCACGAGATAAACGCGTGTGCACGAGCTGCCGCTACTAAGCGACTAGTACGGAAGCATAAAGGCTTAGGCAATTGCCGAGAAAACTTTGCACTGTGAATGAACATCGCCGTCAAGGTATATTCAGGAATCAGCCGTAAAGTGACTATCTCGCAGTTTTCAAGTTTGCGAAGCAGAGTTTCACTCAAACTGGTATCAATGATGCGGTCCGACAATTCACTGCCCCATCACGCGACGTCTGTTGAGCGTTTACATTTTCAATTATATATCTGCAGACCAGCAGCTTAAACAACGACCATCACACGGTTGCCTTTCGTCAACTTGGTCTAGCACGGTTATTATCACAATGGGTAATCGCTTTTCTACGAAATCTGTGGTAAGTTCTGCCCTTGTATTCAATGTGAACAGCAGTCACAGATTACCCTCGACGGGCCTTGGCAGGGAAATGGCAGTCACCAGCCTTCTTACCCAATAAATTTCAAAATCAAGCTATATAAGATTCCCGCGACAGAAGTCAAAAAACTCGGATCGTATCCCAATGGCTCAGGAGGGCTCGGTGACGTCTGGATGTGTTCTTGGTCTCCACAATCTCAGGATGGAACGTCCAAGGTAATTGTGCACTCGATCGAAAATTCACAATATTGACTGCCTTCTAGGTTGCGGTCAAATCAGTTAGGGTTCCTCAAGCAGACGATACAGAACTAGTGAATAAGACAAGCAAGGTGGGAGCAAGAATGAGCTGAAAGTCTTTGTGTTCATTCATTTCAACTCACAGAGGATTCGTCGCGAGGCTTATGTTTGGATCAAACTAGAGCATGAAAACATTCTACCTTTAAATGGTGTTGTCGATGGCTTTGGGATACTCCCTGCCCTAGTTTCTCCGTGGATGGAAAATGGATCGCTCGATAATTATCTGACAAAGGGATTTGTTCTTTCTGAGGCTGACAAACTGAGAATGGTACGTGCCGTATATCGCAACACCGAACGAATTCTAACATATCTTCAGTTGAGACAGATGGCTGCTGGCCTCAAGTATTGTGCATCTATATTTGTTTTGTATCTGGATCAGGCATGCTCACCGACTTGTTAGTACACGAAAAAGGAGTGGTCCATGGCGATTTAACATGTGTACGTGTTGAAAGTTGTAGCTAAGATGTCTTGTTATAACAAATTTACAGACCAATGTTCTGATGGATGCCGATCAGAGACTTTATCTTGCAGACTTCGGTCTCTCGGTGATACTTTCAGAAACACAAAACTCCACCTTCAATTCGTACCATCAAGGAAATGTACGGTGGATGGCGCCTGAGATGTTTGCCATGCCCGACCAAGGGGGAGTAGTGATGCCAACCAAAGCCGCCGATGTTTACTCATATGGTTGCATCATGCTTCAGGTGTGTTGCTCCCCGTTCGATTTCATGTGAGTTACTGTACTGACAGCGTGCAGCTGTTTTGTGGACGCGCACCTTACCTATGGCTAACGAAAGCGCACCACGTTATTGCGGCAAGAGTCGCAGGAACAGAACCCTTCCGTCACTTCTCTGATATTGAAGACGTATACAGGGATTTTGCGTTGAGATGCATATCTGTCATCTTTGATGATCGACCAGTGACTTCTGCGATTGTAGAGTTCTTAGGAGTAGAGTAACACCGATATGAACGAGCTAACCCAGGATGCTATGTACTCGGAATAATATCTGTGTACTTACCATATTGTCACTGCCTTGTTTACATACATTATGAGGACTGGTATTACATGCAGTCCGCTGGCACATGAGTATTGCTCCTGCATTAATACGAATCCAGCTAGCGTATCATACGACACCGAGAAGTAGGAGCATACATGGACCATCATGATTTATAATAGGACACCCGGAATTAACATAAAGACAGGAAAAAACATCGCTTCAAAACCGAGACCTTATAAAGACAAATTCTCATTCGACATCTCTTCTTGAAGATAGTTTATCACCTCTTCTACTGATGGACGAAGCTTGCTCTCCGTTGACCAGCACCGCCGCATGAAATTCAGGTGATCAGATTGGATATCGATGGAGGAGTCGATGGGCTCTGTGCCTTTGAACTTAGCAGAAGTAACGTGTATAGCAGACTTCAACCACCAGTACGGCTGTTTCCCATATAGGACCTGCACGCAGGCGACGTGAGTGTCACTAGCCACCTAACTGGGGACTACGAACCTGAAGCATGATACCGCCGAGAGCGTATACGTCGGTAGATTTTGTTGCGCATTGTATAGGCTGATCTTCTGGGGGAACAAAGAGCTCCGGGGCGACCCAGCGTACTGCACCGTTATGGTAGGAAAATGTAGGGTTGGATTGTACCATGATATTGGAGATACCGAAATCTGCAAGACGAGGGGATCCATCGGCAGCAACCAGAACATTGCCCTACAATTATCATGAGATCATTTCGGTTGCACGGAATGCGTAGACTTACGTCGGTAAGGTCACCATGTATCACGTCGTGGTCGTGAACTGCAGAAAACAAAGTTATATTTGTCACATTCATAGTCAATCCATCACTCACGATACTTGAGCCCCTCGGTAATTTGTTTGAGCTATTTGAAAACATAGTAAGTTGTCGTATTCGGCTTCGTGAATCAAACTCACCAGCTGAAGTCTATCCATCATTGAGAGGGTCTCATGTGCACGATTTAGGTAAGAGTTCAAAGTCCCATTCGGCATCCAGGGGGAAACCAACGCGCGAAATGGGCCGAATTCTTCGACTACAGTGCCATGCAGGGGCAATACGTATCGATGCTTCATCGCAGCCCATATACGGATCTCGCGCTCAAGGTTCTGCGTTTCAAAAGTTCAGATGAGCGGTCAACAGACTGGATCCCACTATACCTTGTTGATTTTGGCAATTTCAGGATCACTCAGACTTTGGAATCGTGGGGATTTGATCGCCACCTGAAGTCACAATCAGGACATGCAAAAAAAAACAAGTCTGTGAAATACCTCATCCGAACTTGCGCCGCGGTTCCATGTACACTTGTAAACATCTCCAAGACCACCCGTAGCGGTCGGGTAGCTGGTTTGCCTTTGGAGATCACTTGGTTTGATGTTAGGAATACCATTACTGTTCCATGTTCACCAAGTCTCGCCAAGGCAAAAAGAAAAGACATACAAGTCCTCTGTATCAACGGATTGAACAGGAGATACTTGGCTACCTGGTGCACGGCCGACCTGTTAGAGTTAGATAAATAGATGGCTTCATGGATAATGTCAAAAAACATACCAGGCTATGGAAGAACTGTTGGAGGTGGAACATATCGACGAGAAACTACAGAGAAAAATAGTCTGTTCCCTTGCACTGAGAAACTACAGTCTTATATGCAGAAAACACTAGTTCGACAATATCACAAGTTATCCCGATAATTACGGTGGAAAAAGACTGCGTAGGGTCAAACTGAAAACGTTCCCACTGGTATTGGTCGAAGAAACGCTGTGGATGAATCAGATCGATTATGAATGTCTCCCCTCCACTACAAACGCCCATATTAGTAGGCGTCAAGCATAGAACCTACTTCTGGGCGGACAATGAG